TTCTGGGCTTTAAAGGTGCTGATGCCCCTTCAAATGAACTGGAAGTGGAACCTACTTTATCCCCACCCCTCCTGGGGAAGGGGGGCCCTAAGGGGATTGTCTGATCCATGAAGCTTCTTCCCCACCACTCCCAAATTGGCCCCAGAAACCGAGACACCAAAACCCTCTGTTTCAGAATCCATCCTGTGAGAAGCTGGTAAGTAACCAGTGATGACTCAGCACCAGACTCTTCTCTCCCCTCCCCACCAGCCAGAATGAAAGGCAGAATCCAGCAGGCTTCCCCTTAGTGGATGGCTACACCCTCACCACAAACTGAGTCATGACCGCACCCTGCCTGGATGGAAAATCACCAGAAGAGGAGGGAAGGGAAAAGTTCCACTCCAGTTTTTGTGTTCTCAGTCCAGAAATTACAGCCATCTACTCTCCATCTGGAGCTAATTGAGGAAAATAGTTCTCTTCCTGATCTAAGCCCTAACTAAGCATGTCCAAGTCTAAATGCAGTATGTGAAAGGTGCAGCGGGGAGGCCACTGTCAACCTGTCTGCAGTATCTGAAATAGCCTTGGCCTCTATAAAGGATGCACCCTTGCTCAGACCCAGCTTTTACAAGCCCCCGCTCCCTCCCTCCCATGTAGCCAGGCCTGTGGGGGGAAGAGACAACCCTCCCTCAAACCCCGATCCAGGCTTTGTGAGTATTCCTCCGCGCAGACTCAGGGCCCATCCTCCATGCTTCCTTCCGCACTGACAGGAATGCTCTGGGTTAATCACGTTTCTTTTATGTCAAATATGTTTTGAATTTTAACAGATACGATTATCTGTGGCTTTTAAACTTCTCGGATCCAAAAAGTCCTGCTTTTCTGTGGAACACTATGAAATGGTATATTTAATTTTATCACACAATTTCATTGGCATAAAAAGACCATTATTATGCACATACTATTAAAAAAAAAAATAACACCCATGAGGCTAGCTCAGCTATTTGAGTTTTTCTGGTAATAGACGCTATTTGTTCATTCCTTCTCTTCTATCATTCACTAGTACTTGCTATACTGGATGCCAAGGATAAAGAAAATTATAAGAAATGCTTACAATGAGAGAAATCTATTAACAGTTTCTGAAAATAGAACAAAAGTGTTGTTACACCATCTTAGCAGCCAAGCACCTGGGTTCCACTGCTGGAACGCCAGTGGGAGCCGAGTTTGAGAACCTCTAGGGAAGTAACGGTTAAGAGCTCAGGTTTTAGAGAAGAGATCTGGCTAAAGTCCAGCACTGTCACTAACCAGCTGTGAGACTTCACACATATTATCTCTAAAGAAAACTGCTGTTTCAGCATTGTTGTCAGGATTAAATGAAAACGACTCAGAAAGGTTTGGAAGGTTGTATAGACAGAACCAGAGCAGGTTCTGGAGCCAAGACTGCCAGTCACTCACCAGCCGTGGAATGGGAGCAGACTGTCCTCTGTGCCTGTTTCCTCCCCTACAAAATGGAAATAATAGTACCTACCTCGTAGGCTTGTTGTGTGGGTTATGAGTCAATGCATGTAGAGAGCTTACACCTAATGCCAAGCACACAGTAAACCCTGCAAAATGTTAGCTAATTATTCAAATGCTTAGGACCTCCTAACACTCAAAAATGTTAGCTATTTCTAATACTATTCAGATGGCAGTGAGGGTCAGGAGGCAGGAATTTCAGTAAGGGTGGGCTCATTGATGGGGTCGTTTACATAGTGAAGAGGTATTTCTCCTAGATCTGAAACCAAGAGTACAGCCAGAATGCTCCTTAGAAGCAAGGATGGCGAGACTTTGTCTCACATACTTTGAACATGTTCATCAGGAGGGATCAGTCCCTGGAGAAGGACATCATCCTTGGTAGAGGGTCAGCAAAAAAGACCCTCAACAGGAACCCAAGGCCGAGTAAGGATATTGTTGTGTTGTGAGATTGTTAACCATTGTCATAGGGCAACATTTGTAGTAACTGTTAAACGAGCAACTATTTTGTTCTGTAAGCCTTCATCTTAAGTGAGAATAACAGCACCATTGGAAGAGCGTAGTCAATGTCACTGAACTGTGCATGGAGAAATTTTTGAAATGGTGTATCTTTGACTATGTGTATTTTCACCAAAAAAAAAAGGTTGAGAAGTTAGAGGCTGGACATGTTGTGGGGTTGTTAACCAATGTCATAAAACAATATGTGTACTACTGTTTCATGAGAAACTATTTGTTCTGTAAGCCTTCACCTAAAGTACATTTAAAAAAAAAAAAAAAGGACCCTCAACAAGATTGACACACTGTCTGCAACAATGGGCTCAAGGGTAACAATGACTGTGAGGATGGTGCAGGACCAGGCAGTGTTTCGTTCTTGTACACAGGGTTGTTATGAGTCGCAACCGACTTGATGGTACCGAACAACTGAAACCAGAATGGGGAAGGAGAGCCCTAGGAGACTTGTAGAGTCAGAATACTCGTCTTGATCAAGAAAGGAGTAAAGAAGTTTACAGAGCAGCTCCTAGGGTGATGGACCTTAGAACGGTACTTCCATGTTAAGGCAGGTGAGGAACTAGGAAACAGGGTCAGGTAACCAAGCAGAGAAGGTGTCTCCAAAGTAGAGTGAGGGCAGTAACAGACAGCAGGTAGTCTAGGGCAGGCTTTGTCAATCAAGAAGCTACAGAATAAAAATCCTATACTTGAAAAGCCAAGATGTGTTTAATGCCTTTTGTATCCTCTGTGCTTATATTGCTTATATTCTTCATTAATATTTCATAAAATATTTGGAAATATCCACCCTGTCTCAGCTATGCTTACAACTAAAGGTTTTGGGTCCATGGAACAGTACCTGAAAGGCCAGGAGAAGGCTGCCAGTGGGCATTTCAACAGGTAGAAGATGGAATTCAGTGAAACAACTAGGTCTCCTAGATACAGCACTGCCTCTCACCTGCTAACCGGGACTTGGGTTTTGTTTCACTATGGGAGGCTATATTCCCTTAGGGTTTCTTTATTGATTTCAGGTTAGAGACCAAGCTAACAATAGGCACCAGCTCCCCACCCCTTCCCTTATTCCAAAGATACAGCTGGGAGAAGAAGAACAGGGCCCAGATCCTGAGATACAGAGCAATGGTGACTGGCCAGGTTTTGTGCAGAGAGCAGAGGCCCTAAGGGAGGAAATCTGAGCTGCTCTGGCCTCATGGCCCTTTAAAATCATGACAAATAATCATCAGTGGATTCTATATCCTTCTCAGTTTGTTTCATTTGCATCAATTTCCCTTTTTAATCTAATTCATTGATAAAAATGCTGACAGATCTGTGTAGTACACTATACAAGATGGAGTCAGTTTTGACACCATCCAACATAAACAGTCCCAACCCTCAGGATTCCACCCTCCCCACCCCCACGGCCCATTTGGGGGCTTCAGGTAGATGCTGGACCAAGGCCAATCAGACCACAGTGTTCATATCCAGTCCACAGCACCTTCCATTTTATTGTTTAATTTACAAACAGGGTGAAGTCAACTGGGAAAATCAGGGCTTGGGAGTCAGTCTGGGCCATCCAAACGTGGAGTGGTTCCTGGGTCAATCTCCACCATGAGGCCACCTCTTCTATACTTTTCCTGCCTCTTAGAAATGGCCCCTCGATTCCTCAGGGCAGCCTCATCTGCTGCTCTTGAGCCCTTCCGTAAGGGCAGATGGATCCTGGGGGAACAGCGTGGCACGAGGGCTGGGGCCCCCTCAGTTTGTGTAAACCTGAGTTCCGATCACACGCATGATTTCCTTCTGTATCTTGGGGTCCTGAGTATTTATGTTGGCATCGCCCACCTGACCATCTTCATATCTACCGAAGACAAGGCAAGTGTGAGCGTAAGAGGGAGGGCAATACCAGAATAATGAGTATCAGTGGAACTGTATCTGGAGGTGTGGCCATCCCAGAAGTCAAAGTTTTTCTGCAGCTCTTTAGGATAAAAGGCATTCAGCTTATCTGTCCTCCTCTAAACAGACCCCGATCTATACCCATCCCCATCCTTCAAAGGGAAAGTGCCAGTGCCAGCTCCACTCAGGGAGCTAGGGACAAATCTTAGATAACAGAAATAGACTGTTCCAGTAGTCATACACTATCATACTCCCACCCTCACTCCTTCAGCAATCCCCAGGATACCCTCCTAGACTCACACAAAGAAGAACCGTGTGCAGACATGGTCGGACACAGGGCAGACCCAGATGTTCCCGTGCTTCTGGAGGTCCTTAGATGTAATCACTGGGTGGGAAGGAAGGGGCCAGAAGCCACAGAAGTAATGCTTAAGTCACAGAGTCCCAGCGGGAGAGGGAAGACCTGATGCTTCAACAGACCCCTCCTCACCCTTGGCTGGATCATGTGCCAAAGGTGCACTAGAAGTAAAGGTCAGGGACCCAGAAAAACAGGGACTGGTGAGCTTCGTACCTTCACAGAGTGCTATACAGTTTAGATTCCGACTCTGCAGGAACCTCGACTGAATGGATCGGGTCTGGAAGAGGAAACAAAGGAGAGCGCAGCTAGGTAGACCGTCACAGCATTCCCCAGAGATGCCGGGTAGTTGTTGATGGTTGGGGGTAGGGATCAGGGATACCCTGGGCACCCAGCCACCTCCCAAAATTCTGCTTTCCCATAATCAGTCTGGATGGGCCCAGAGCCTCGATCTTGACATTTTCATGTTACTGAATCTAAACTCAGTCCCTGCCTTCACAATTGACTGAGGCCACACGTGACTCCAGAACTGTGTTCATCTTAGAACATAACTGATTCCTTCAAATGGTCTTCAAACCACCCACCTTCCCCTCATTGTTTCCCCACCCATCTCTGCAGCCTAAACTAGTCCCAGAAGAAGGGTTTTGCCTCACTAGAGCACAGCCAACTAACAATACCTGGGGGATGGTATTCATCCTGTTATATCTCTGGACCAGCTCATCCTTGGAGGGCATCCTGTGCTGTCCTTTTCCCATTCCTGTCAGAACAACAAGCCCAGTTCATTCCCCCATTCCTTCATCAAATATTTACTGAAGTAACCACTATGTGCCTGGCACTGAGCTAGGCACTTGTCAATACAGTGGTGACTAAAACAAGACATTTGCCCTCGCAGAATTTAGTCTGGTGGAAACTACAGGCAAGGAACAGGTAATTACAATACAGTATGTTAAGGATCAAGGAGCCCTGGTGGCACAGTGGTTAAATGCTTGGCTGCTAATCAAAAGGTCAGCAATTCAAACCCACTAGGTGCTCCACGGGAGAAAGATATGGCAGTTTGCTTAAAAGTTGTGATGGGAACATACAGAGCACTGTGTGAGCCAGAGGAGGGGAACCAGCCTAGCCTCGAGGTTTGGAGAAGGTTTTCTGGTGGAAATGACAGTTAGGCTGAGAACTACAGGATCAGGAAGAGTTAATGAAGAAGTGTTCTGGGCAGAGGTATAGGCTATGGAAGGCCGGAGGAAAGATAAAGCATACTGCTTCAGTCTGCATGGAGCAGAGTTAATGGCAGAGGAGTAGTGAGAGATGACTTGGAAGAGGTGAGCTAGGACCAGATGAAGTGGGCTTTGGAGGCCATGTTAAGGTAACAAGTTTATCCTGAAAGGAACAGAGAAACACTGAAGGCTCTGAGAGAGGAGAGTAACACATGAAATGAGGGGCCCAGGAGGGGGACATCAACACCTGGGTATCAAATGCAGAGCTAAGAGAAATGAGGTGGGGAGGAAGCAAGCACAGTAAGTCAGATCTGCTCTAGTGTCAAGGTTATGTAAAAAACTGACCAATGTCATTCAAGAGATAAGGGAGAAAGCACAGAAGTTCAGTGACGAATACTTTTCTACAGGTAATTAGTATGGCAACTACCTTAAAGAATCCTGCCTACTTCAGGAAGTCTTCCCTGACTAGAAAGGGGTGTCGATTCTCTCCAGTTCCTACCATATCTAAATCCATAAACCCTCCACCACACTCACCCCCACTGAATAGTCCTGCTTATTAATACAGACTCAACCTGAATTTTCCTGATTTAGATGTGAAATACTGCTTGTGTGCCCCTACTCCCAACCCTTTTTGGCCTGGGGACAGGAGTTCAGACTATATCCTCAGCTTTATCACAGGCCCAGGCTTGTCACAAAAGGGTAGAAATGATGCTACGATTACAGGCCATAAAGAGCAATAAGCAATCTCATGACTCCATCCCAAACTTTCTATTATTGCCAACTCCACTCTGCTTCAACTTCTGGTTCAGTGACAGCCATTGTATAGAAGTGGGGGTGGAAATCACTGGACCAACATTCTCACCTGCTCAGATGGTCAATTCCTCCTGCACTCACTGTGAAGTCTCCCGACAGATTTATGGCCTGAATAAACCTCAGTGCAATGGGAGCCTTAAAGCTTGAATTGCCAAGTTCTTCCTCCTACAGGAAAGACAAACACCACCCCTGCTTCTGTCTTCTCCATTAACCTTAACTAGGTTCAGCTCTGCATCCACACTTCATGACCTTCTCAGCCTGGGTATCTCAGTGACAAGGTTCTCAGTTAAACTCCTATTCAGGTTCTATCCCAGAGAAAGCAGATAGAAGGGTAAGAAAGAAGAATCTAACTTCCACAGCTGGTCTTAAGAGATCGCCCTTAGGATGTAATTCAAATCTTGGTCCATGCCTACACTGTTGCACATTGCCCTGTCCACACTGACCCAGTAATCTTCAGTTACTTTTTTTGATACCAGACCCTGAGAACACAGTGGCTAGAATGATCCCTGGATGCTTTAGGTCCAGAGTATGTATGTACCTATCAGAAGTCCCTAACAAGACTAAGAAAGTAATGAAAGGAGTTTACCATCTCCTTTCTCACTGCCTCATTTTAACCTGCACACTATGTCTAAGTCATTGCAGGCTCCCCTGGTCAAATGAATGTTCTCTATTCACACCACACCCCAAGAGGGTATCCAATGCCACTAGGCTGAGTACCTTGAGGAAGGAAGAACAGAAAATTTGAGAATGGGGTGGAAGGAAACATGCAAGAAGACAGAGTTGGTTAAAGGCCAGAAGAACTACAATTAGGGAGACGTTTGCACACACTCCCAAACACTGTTATAGAGACTCTGATATATCTGTGGGCCCTCAGAAACACAGACACTGAAGCAAAGCCTACCTTGCCAGTACAATACAGTGATAACACTGGCCTAAAGTCAGGAGACCTGATTTCCAGGCCTAGCTCTGCTACTCACAGTTGTGTGACCCCAAGCAAGTCACCTGGTATTTCTGTGTACCAACTTTCTTATCTATAATGTAATAAAGGATTGGACTAGATGATCTATAACTCCAATAGTAAAATCTATGGTATTTTCTATCTAGCATCAATAGCCCTTTGGGAAAAGAGAAAGGGCGGTGTTGTATGTTTTCATGTAATCAGTGAAAAGTCAATGGAGATTCTAAGCTCCATCTGATGATCAAAGGTATTCAGGCACTTAGTTGTGAACAAAGGCCACTTAAAGGAGTGGAAGAGGACACATGGGGAGGGAGGAAAATAAGGAGAAAATAAACAGGAAGAGTCTTGTGGGCACCAAGAGCCAGGAGAATCTTTACTACTCAGAAAGTAGCTTAATCAGAGGGATGCTCAGGCTGGAACAAAGACAGAAACTGAGGAACCTAGACAAAGAAGCCAAAGACTACCCCCATCTCAACCTACTATGACCTCAAGAACACAAAAGATTCATTCACTTACTCAAAAATATTTATTGGGTACTTAACCTGTGTGGCAATAGGTTTTTTTTTTAACCTGTGTGGACTGATCATAATCCTTGGTTTATGACACACTAACATTTAATAGAACAATAAATACCTATACATCCAACCTAAGAACTAAACCTAAGAACTAAAACCTTACCAGTAACTTAGATCTAACTATGTGCTCCTACCCTATATCTCAGCTACCTGTGCCTCCACTTGGGAGGTAACCACTATCCTAATATTTGCTTATCATCGCTTTCCTTTTTCCCCCTAATGTGTGTGTATGTATATGGGGGAAAAAAAGCAAAGGAATGATAACCAATGACAGTTGAGTCGATTCCAACTCAGTGACCACGTGTTTCAGAGCAAAACTGTGCTCCATAGGGTTTTCTTTTCTTCTTCTTTTTTTTTTTTATGTACCAGGCATTATTATTTAATGCCTAAAACAAACCTTTATTCATTGCCTCCATTACACAAGTGTAAAAAAACTGATCAGGAGGTTCAATAACTTGTCGAAGGCCATGCAGATTAATAAATGGTAAAGCCAGGATTTGGCTCTGCCTCATAAATCTGCTTTTTAAACCACTATGCTATATTGTAACACTATGCTATATTTCACTGAGTTTTCAAAACCGTCTTCTACACAGTGTATATAAATATTTTTTTTTAAATCAAATACAATCATACTATACTTCTATACTGCAATTTCATTTTTCTTTTCAACAATATTATCTTGGACATCCTCCCATGTCAGTACATATATACATATATCCCATAATAATATTTACCTATTCTCCCACAGATGACTATTTAAGATATTTACATTTTTTTCACTTTATACATAATGATGCATATATCTATACAGGTCTATTTCTGAATAAAACCAGAAGTGGACTTGCTATGCTAAAGTGCATTTTTTCTTCCTCAGTGTTTTTAATTGTTGCCATTCAAACTTATGAAAAATCTTATCTTTTTTTAAATTTGCATTTGCCTGAATTTTATTTTTTCCTTTGTGGATAACCAATTATCCCAAAAGTCTTAATATCTAGTAAAGTAAGTCCAAATTCTTGTTTTTCAAAATTATCTTAGCTCTTGTTTTTTTTCATTGTGTTTTAAGTGAAAGTTTACCGTTCAAGTCAGTTTCTCATAGAAAAATTTATACACACATTGCCATGTGACCCTAGCTGCTCTCCCTATAATGTGACCGCATACTCATCCTTTCCACCCCGGGTTTCCCGTGTCCATTCAACCAGCTCCTGTCCCTTTCTGCCTTCTCATCTCACCTCTGGACAGAAGCTGCCCATTTAGTTTCATGTATCTACTTAAGAGGCACTCTCTTCACAAGTATCATTTTATGTCCCATAGTCCAATCTAAACTTTGCCTGAAGAGTTGGCTTTGGGAATGGTTTCAGTTCTGAGCTAATGGACAGTCCAGGGGCCATGTCTTCCGGGGTCCCTACAGTCTCAGTCAAACCATTAAGTCTGGTCTTTTAACTAGAATTTGAGTTCTGCACCCCACTTTTCTCCTGCTCCGTCAGGGACTTTCTGCTGTGTTCCCTGTCACGGTGGTCATTGGTGGTAGCCTGGTACCACCTAATTCTTCTGTTCTCAGGCTGATGAAAGTCTCTGGTTTATGTGGCCCTTTCTGTCTCTTGGGCTAATACTTTCTTTGTGTCTTTGGTGTTCTTCATTCTCCTCTGCTCCAGGTAGGTTGGGACCAATTGATGCATCTTAGATGGCCACTTGCTAGCTTTTAAGACCCCAGACGCCACTCACCAAAGTTGGATGCAGAACATTTTCTTAACAAACTTTGTTATGCCAACTGACCTAGATGTCCCCTGACAACATAGTCCCCAGACCCCCACCCCTGTTACTCTGTTCCTCCAAGTGTTTGGCTGTATTCAGGAAACTTCTTAGCTTTGGTTTTGTCCAGGTGTGCTGACTTCCCCTGTAGTGTGTGTTGTCCTTCTCTTCACCTAAAATAATTCTTATTTACTATCGAGTTAGTAAATACCCCTCCTCCTACCTCTCCACCCTCATAACCATCAGAGAATGTTTTCTTCTGTGTTTAAACCTTTCCTTGGGTTCTTGTATTAGTGGTCTCATACAATATTTGTCCTTTTGCGACTAAATTCACTCAGCACAATGCCTTCCAGATTCCTCATGTTTCACAGATTCATCGTTGTTCTTTATCATTGCATAGTATTCCATTGTGTGAATATACCATAATTTGTTTATCCATTCGTCTGTTGATGGGCACCTAGGTTGCTTCCATCTTTTCGCTACTGTGAACAGTGCTGCAATAAAAATGGGTGTCCATATATCTATTTGTGTGACGACTCTTATTTCTCTAGGATGTATTCCAAGGAGTGGGACTGCTGGATCTTATGGTACTTCTATTTCTAGCTTTTTAAGGAAACGCAAAATTGATTTCCAAAGTGGTTGTACCATTTTACTCTCCCACCAACAGTGTATAAGTGTTCCAGTCTCTCCAAAACCTCTCCAAAATTTACTATTTTGTGTTTTTTGGATTAATGCTAGCCTTGGGGTGAGATGGTATCTCATTGTAGTTTTGATTTGCATTTCTCTAATGGCTAATGATCGTGAGCATTTCCTCATGTGTCTGTTAGCTGCCTGAATGTCCTCTTTGGTGAAGTGCCTATTCATATCCTTTGCCCTATTTTTAGAGTTATTTGTGTCTTTTTGATGTTGATGTTTTGCAATATCTTGTAGATTTTAGAGATTAGACACTGATCAGATCTGTCCTAGCCAAATTTTTTTTTCCAGTCTGTAGGTTGTCTTCTTTTGACTCTTTTGGTGAAGTCTTTTGATGAGCATAAGTGTTTGATTTTTAGCAGCTCCCAGTTATCTAGTTTATCTTCTGGTGTTTGTCCATTGTTACTTATGGTTTGTATTCTGTTTATGCCATCTATTAGGGAACCTAGCATTGTCCCTATTTTTTCTTCCATGATCTTTATCATTTTTGATTTGATATTTAGGTCTTTGATCCATTTTGAGTTAGTTTTTGGGCATGGTGTGAGGTATGGGTTCTGTTTCATTTTTTTGCAGACGGATATCCAGTTATGCCAGCACCATTTGTTAAAGAGACTGTCTATTCCCCAGTTAACAGACTTCGGACCTTTGTCAAATATCAGCTGCTCATAGGTGGATGAATCTACAGCCGGATTCTCAATTTTGTTTCATTGGTCTACTTATCCCTTGTTGTACCAGGTCCAGGCTGTTTTTACTATCACGGTGGTATAACAGGTTCTAAAATCACATAGTGTGAGGCCTCTCACTTTGTTCTTCTTCAGTAATGCTTTACTTATCCAGGGCCTCTTCCCTTTCCATATGAAGTTGGTGATTTGTTTCTCCATCTCATTAAAAAATGCTGGTGGGATCTGGATCCGGATTGCATTGTATCTGTAGATCGCTTTGGGGAGAATTGACATGTTCACAATGTTGAGTCTGCCTACCCATGAGCAAGGTATGTTTTTCCACTTATGCAGGTCTCTTGCAGTAGCGTCTTGTAGTTTTCATTGTATAGGTCTTTTACGTCTCTGGTTAGATTTATTCCTAAGTATTTTATCTTCTTGGGTGCTACTGTAAATGGTATTGATTTGGTGATTTCCTCTTCAAAGTTCTCTTTGTTGGTGTAAAGGAATCCAACTGATTTTTCTATGTTT